ACTGTTGTCTCACAGCAAGAAGGTCCTGGGTTCAATCCCTGGTTGGACCTGGGGTCTTTCTGTGTGGAGTTTGCATGTTCTTCTGGTGCTTGCGTGGGTTTTCTCCGGGTACTCCAGTTTCCTCCCACTGACCAAAAACATGCATGTTAGGCTGCCTTCAGGCAAAAGAGATTTGTGATCTCAATGGGATTTTCCTGGTTAAATAAAGGTTAATAAACATATGAAGGCAACAGACCAAGAAGTGATTTAAAGATGAAAATGTACCAGTGAAAGAGTCTGCCTGAAGTTAATGATGTCCAAATGACCAGTGACTGTACAGGGCGCAGTGATGGGTAATTACAGCCAGTTATGAATGATAGTGCACCATGATAGACATCGTCTTACATCTGCAAGGTGCTTGTTCAAGTGTCTTGCACAGGTTTGAATTGGTGCCATTTGTAAATGGTAAATGGTCTGTACTTATATAACGCCTTTTTTATTTTATCAAGATACTCAAAGCACTTTACATTACAATCTGTGCCACATTTACCCATTTATACGGCACTCTACTATGTCTGTACAAAGAATTATCAGTGCTTTATAATATTTATACACCGATGGGACACACATCAGAGGCAATGAGGGGTTCAGTGTCTTGCAGGGACACTTCAGCATGCGAATGCTGGTGGAATCGAACCCCCAACTCTTGCATTGAAAGATAACTGCTCTAATCACTCAGCCACACCACTCGACACTTGTTTGTAAAAAAAACAAGTATGTGTACTTTGAATAAAAAAAAAGAGGACTCTAGATCAAAAGTCAATGAGTTACAGATGCTAAAGCAAAAAGTGTTACAAGCATACCCGTCGTCCCCTATCTACATATGAAACACACAAAACAAAGCGCAAATAGATTTAAACATTTACCTTTAATTTAACCATTAAGCATACAATGCAATTATAACAGAAAATGGAAAATGTACTTACAGTTACCTTCATACAGACAAACACGTTGTAGTTTGGTTCATCAATGTTGTTTTCAGCTGCTCATGAGGTCGGCTGCCAACCTTTATCCATCTTGTACATTTTTACAGATGTCGCTGAGTTTTTGAAATTGAATAAACTGTATTCCACCCTCTAAACACTCAGGGTAACATGTGTATTAATTGTTTGTTCCCCTGACAACTTTTATCCATTTTTTCCTGATGATTTTTCATGAAATACCTCTGACCGCAAAGCATTCAGTCAATGTAGGAGGAAAAGGAGTGTAGATCCTGCAGGTAAGGGGCATTTCACTTTGGGACAAATTGAGGTCGCTGATTGGTCAGTTGCTGACAAGCCTACAGGACTGATTGACAGGTGACGTTGAGGATCTGACTTGTGCAAAAAAATCATAGATTTTACTGACCCGTTTAAGAGTGTCATCATTTATTCCATTTTTATTACAAATATATTCAACATTTTGGTGAACCTAACGTTTGACAACTAAGCTTCCTTACAAAATCCTAATGACGGTTTCTTTATTTTTCAGGGGTGCTAAATTAAATTTTAGAGGTGCTTGAGCACCCCCCAAAAGAGGCTAAAATTGCCACTGGTGAATACAAACGCTCATGCCAATTTTCAGGTTTTTATTTTCAAAAATTTATATACTTCTTTTCTCAATTCACTTTACCAACTTGGACTATGTTGTGCAGATGCAGCACATACAATTCAGATAAAAAAAAAACATATAAGTACAGATTGTAATGTAACAAAATACGCAAAAAGCCAATGGGGGTGAATACTTTTGCAAGACACTGTATATTTATTAAGTTTTCATCATCTTGAATGTCACAACCAGACCTGGTACACATTGTTGTCATCATGGGGGAGTGGTGACACAGAGGTTAGAGAAGGTGGGCCTGTGATCTGAAGATTCACAGTTCAACTTCCCGACAACATCTAAATGTGGGTGGCAAAGGTGAAGTGTACCCACACCTGTCTCCTCCTTCATTTGCCCTATGAGCCCTTGAGCAAGGCCCTTAACTCCCACCATCTGCTCCACCAATTGCCCTAGATGGCAGCTCCCTGCTCCACACAGAGGGCTGTGGTAGCTCGGTGATCTGTGGTTGTATCAGGAAGAACATCCGGCGTAAAAAACAATTGCCAAGCCTTCGTGCAACTTAGTTTGCTTTGGCGACCCCTGAAGAAGGGAGCAGCCAAAAGAAGAGAGAAAAATAATACACAATGTTGTCATCAAGTGTATGAGTCAGAGTGCTTTATGATGACTTTATGCCCCCCACCCCCATAACTAAATGACTTCTTAATTTGAATAGTCAAAATACAGTAACTTTATGCATTAGTCTAGCTTCTGGTGAAATGCAATAAAATGGCAAACATTAACACCTTTCTGACATTACAGAATTAGTAATTATTTATTTTGATGGCAATAAGTTAAAAACAAAACAAAGAGTTTAAATAGAGGCATTTTGAGGCACTAAGGGAGTTTGCCCACTAAGGTGGCCAGAATGAATACCTGGCACTACATAAAAATGATCAAAGCAATCAAATCGATTTATTTGCTAATCTTTTATGTACTGTATCTAATCACTACCAAAACACTATTGTTTATATAAAAAAAATAACTTTTTTGTGTGTTATGTTGTAATAAATATATATATTTTTTAAATTAAAGGTCAAAATCTAAAAAAAAATTACAAAAGTTTGATAGTCTGAAATTGTTTAGAATATTTAGAAAAAGGCAGAAATATATTTTGTTAATGATTTTGTAGCAGTTTTTGGTATGTGTGTGTGTGTGTGTGTGTGTGTGTGTGCGTGCGTGCGTGCGTGCGTGCGTGCGTGCGTGCGTGCATGCGTGCGTGCTTGTGTGTGTGTGTGTGTGTGTGTGTGTGTGTGTGTAGTTTTACCATAAAGCAGTCCAAATGATATTAAACTTGAGGGCAAATAGGTTAATGACAACAGTAAATCACTCTATATAGTGAGGAAAAAAGTATCTGATACAATGCTAATTTTGCAAGTTTTCTCACATATAAAAACAGAGGTCTGTAGTTTTTATCATAGGTACACTTCAACTGTGAGAGACAGAATGTAAGAAAAAAGAAAACCCAGAAAATCACATTAAATGATTTTTAAAAATAATTAATTTGCATTTTATTGCATGAAACAAGTACTTTGTATGTGATCACCTACCAACAGCAGTAATTCTGGCTCTCACAGACCTGATGTTTTTTCTTTAAGCACTTCTCCTATTCTTCACCCATTACCTGCATTAACTGCAATTGTTTGAACTTACCTGTATAAATGACACCTGTCCACACACAATCAATCACACTACAACCTCTCCGCCATGGCCAAGACCAAAGAGCTGTCTAAGGACATAAGGGACAAAATTGTAGACCTGCACAAGGTTGGGGTGGACTACAAAATAGTAGACAAGCAGCTTGGTGAGAAGGAAACAACTGTTGGTGCAACAAAGTCCATCCTCAATAATCCAGGCATACAATCCAACATTTTTCCGTCCGGTCTTTTTCAGTCACAGGCCTTCCGGACCGAAAGCAAAACGTTTCAGCACAAAAAAAGAAACTGTCCAGATGACCTGACTCAAAATTGTTGGATTGTACACCTGGATTATTGAGGATGGACTTTGTTGTTTTCAACCAGTTTGACAAGACTGTCAACAAGGAAGAGTGCTGGCAATGGAGGAGGGGGCGTACCAAAGAGACCATCTTATCACAAGCAGAACTGGTTTGTTCCACTTTGGAGTAAGCTGTTGGGGGAAGAATCAATTTTGTTGTGTTTCCTTGACTGATGAAGCCTTCAAGACCAAAGGCGAAATGTTTCAGCACAAAAAAAGAAACCGTCCAGATGACCTGACTGAAAAATGTTGAACTGTGGGTGCAATTATTAGAAAATGGAAGAAACACAAGATGACTGTTAATCTTCCTCAGTCTATTACTCCATGCAAGATCTCACCTCATGGGTTAAGAATGATTCTGAGAAAGGTCAGGAATCAGCCCAAAACTACATGGGAGGACCTGGTCAATGACCTGAAGAGAGCTGGGACCACAGTCTCAAAGAGGACCATTAGAAACACACTACGCTGTCATGGTTTAAGATCCTGCAGGGCATGCAAGATCTTCCTGCTCACAACAACACATGTCCAGGCCCATTTTAAGTTAGCCAGTGACCATCTGGATGATCCAGAGGAGCATGGAAGGTCATGTAGTCAGATGAGACCAAAATAGAGCTTTTTGGCATCAACTCCACTGACCATGTTGGAGGAAGAAGAAGGATGAGTACTATACCAACAACACCGTCCTAACCATGAAGCATGGAGGTACAGACATCTTTTGGGTTGCTTTTCTGCAAATGGGACAGGACAACTGCACCGTATTGAAGGGAGGATGGATGGGGTCATGTATCGCGAGATTTTGGCCAACGTCCTTGCCTCTGTAGGAGCACTGACTGAAGATGGGTTGTGACTGGGCCTTCCAGCGTGACAATGACCTGATACACACAGCCAGGGCATTGGCTCCATAAGAAGCATTTCAAGGTCCTTGAGTGGCCTAGCCAGTCTCCTGACCTGAACCTAATAGAAAATCTTTTGAGGAAGCAGAAACTCAATGTTGCCCAGCGATAGCCCCAAAACCTGAAAAATCTGGAAAAGATCTGTGGAGGAGTGGGCCAAAATCCCTGCTGCAGTGTCTTGGTCAGGAACTACAGGAAACGTCTGACCTCTGTAATTCAATGTTTTGTGTACCAATTATTAAATTATGTTTTTCCGTTGTGTCAAATACTTATTTCATGCAATAAAGTGCTAATTATTTTTTAAAAAATTCAATGTGATTTTCTGATTTTATTTATTACATTCTGTCTCTCACAGTTGAAGTGTACCTACAATGCAAGACCTCTCCATTCTTTGCAGGTGAGAAAACTTGCTAACTTCACAGTATATCAAATACGCATTTTTCCCTCTCCATGCAAAACAATTCATATAAATTAGACAAGATGAAGTCTCTTGAGTATATTCATATAATGTTATTTTTATTGGCAGATACAGTACTTTTTATCTGAAGACTTGAAAATTACCCCAAAGTGGCAATTTGAAAGGATCTGAACAGACAAAATGCAAAAAAGCCTGGGAGGTGAACGCTAACAAATGTTCATATCTAGTCCAACTTCAAAAGGAACAATAATATATACTACTAATGCTTAATAATATATACTACAAAACAAGTTATAAAAAACAAAATACAAAATACAAAATACTGTTAAAATGACGTGTTATAGACACAAAGATTTAGATACATACATAGAAAAAAAAACTGCCATTCTGCCTTAGAATTAGTGTTTCTCCTCAACCTGTACACAGTGTTTCATCTACAATGTTATATTGTAACACAACAGTGTAAAGGAAATGAGCTGAAGTCATAAACATATAACTTCCAATAAGATATTCAATAGCTGTGAACGTGGTTTAACACAAAGTAGCTGCAGCAGATACTGAAAATGAACGTGAAAGTATTTACATGTGCATGTTTTAGAGTGACAAGCTGCATTCACTCGGGACATTTCTTTGAGTTGGCATTGGAGTTGACATTAGTTAGTCGGACATTCTCCTCCTCTGTTTTTTCAGCCTTATCGCGTACTTCTCCCTCCACATGGAAACCAACCATCAGCTGGTAGATTATGGTGCCGATAATGGAACCAAGGAAAGGGGCAAAAACGGGCACCAAGAACCAGCCATTGTTGACCCTGAGTGAACACAGAGACAATTGTTGTTGGTGATGATTGTGAAGCAGCTACAGAGAAATAAATCATAATTTATGGAAAATGCTTCTGCTCAAAAGATAGCACATTCTTTCTGCCTGCTTTTCTATTTCTCTGATATGACCACCAGATCCCCCCTTTAAAAATACATTTGTGATAAATGCTTAAATGCTTCACTTACGTGAAAACCTCACTTCCCCAGCCGGCTATAGCGGTGAAAAGACGTGGTCCAAGGTCTCTGGCAGGATTGACAGCATAACCAGAGTTAAAGCCCATGGACAGTCCAATGACCAGAACCACAAATCCCACAGTGAACGCTTCCAGCCCTTTCGGGATTGGGTTGTTGTATGGATCCACGATTGCCAGAATGCAAACTATCAGCGCTGTCGTGCCAATAATCTGTGTGGGAGACGTTAATGTCAGGGGGAATTGTCAGTTGCATTTATAATTGCTAAGTTTTGCAAATGCTGTCTATGTTAATAAAAAGTACCTGATCAAAGAAGCCATTGACAATGGTGAGGTGTTTTCCAGGATATGTGGCAAAGATGCCAGCTGTGGCATCAGGCCCAGTCACGTTGAAACTTCCAGGATGGTCCCACAAGGCATCTAAAATGATAAAAACAACTATTTATAACACAAACTATTTTCCCTCCCCATTTTAGAGCACATCTTAGCATAAATTAGATGGGATAGGATCCTTTCTGTCTTATTGTCCACAGCCATCTCTTACCGTAGTACATGCCAAAAATCACAGCAGCGCCGAAAAATGCACCAATTGTCTGAAAGAGGAAGTACATGGGGAACTTTCTCCAGCGCTCTCTTCCAAGCAGACAAAGTGAAAATGTCACTGCAGGGTTCAGATGGCCACCTGTACAACAGAGACAGGATGACTGACAGTAAAAAAAAAAGACATAAACACAGTATGAAGACAATGAAAGCACTGTCCATATATGCATGTAATGTAGACCTTGACTACCTGATTTCTCTGTAGTCAGCTTAAGAAACTCAGATCTCAAAATATCAACTCAGTTTAGTGGAAACTTGTCATCTCTATCCTTGACAGAGTAATCTGTTTTCCTACCTGATACCTGGCCACAGACCAAGATGCCTAAGGTGGCAGCAAAGCCGAAGGCAAAGTTGACAGTGAGGAACATTCCATGTGATCCACCACTCAGCACATGTTGGGCCAGAGCGCCACAGCCAAACATCTGAAAGGTAGATAAGAATGTTCATTTATAGGTTCAAAACAACAACTTGGTTAGCATTTGATTAGCTTTAAACATGCAACGTCTTGCTGTAGCACTGAAGATCTATTGTTATTTAATCAAGGTTGGGCTGCTGAATGATGACTGAAAACATGGAACTGTGATGATTATCAGTGAAACCAGTTCAACAAAAAGCCATTGAATTATCTCAGTTCTGAAATAAATGAGCTTTCTATGTCTTCATATCAGCACGCAGTTTTCTTTATGGATGTCCTGGATTCAAGGGTGAATTGTTGCTATTTTAAAGCTGCTTTAAATTTATGGGAGGGGAAAAGCAAAATTTCTCATTTGAATAAAAGAAAGAACTTATAGGTTTATTCTCCATGAAGCAATTCTTTTGGAGAGGTGGCAGACTGGGCGTTCTGCATAGTTTGCAATTCTTCTATGTGTTTAGTCCAAGATGTGTGGCCCTTGCTCGGACTGTTTCTTTCTAAACCCAAAGAACACAATGCTATTTAGTGAAACCACAGCACTCAGATGTTGAGGTTAGCTAGAGAGAGCCACAATTGGAGCATCTGGTGCCTGAGGGACATTTATGATCACTGGACTCAGTCTAAAGCCTTTTCCACTCATGTCTTGCCAATACAGAGGAAATGGTGCACAAATCTGCAGCATATAAAAACTGGCCTTACAGTCCTTTTTGGTATTGTGCTATGATAAATATGTGTCAGTAGCAACTGCTTTTGCACAAGTGACCACCATGGCGGAAGGCATTTTGTTTACAGCTTGTCCGCATTATGTGTGCATTCCATTTTTATGAAGAAGATTTTGCTTGGAAGCCTCAAGGAAATTTAAGTTGCCACAAACGCTCACTCAGACCTAGTGATGTGCTGAGGGGATTCTGGCTGTCAAAGGTCAAAGTTGCTGTAATTGTCTGTTTATCTTATTGTTCATAAATGCAATATTAACTAATAAGAAGTTCAAATAAATCAGGACGAAGCATAAATGAAGGGATTAGAAGTTGGTGGTCACAGAATTTCACACAAGTGAGTTAAATGTGAGACCGGAACTTTTAGAATTAATGTAAACTCGTCGTTGTCTGCAGGCAGAGTGATGTCTATAATGTCAGAAGTATTAAATTACAGCCAATGGGCTGTCACACTCTAAGTGCCAACTTCCTGACTTAATATGTGAGAGGTAAATATGTTGTTGCCATTAAACTGAACTTAGGTAACTTCACTCCTGCAGCCATCATGAAACTGATTCTTTCACATGCGCATGCAGCCTTATCCACTCTGAACTTGGAGCACAGTCAGGGAGCTTGTTAAGAAATCCCCACCTGTCATTCCACTCAGACACTTGGTGATTGTCTAGGAGCTGTAGGAAAAAAAAAAAGAAAAAGAAACAGCCACTGGCCTGGAACCAGTCCCTGAATTAGAACCTGTTCAAAACAAGCCTCATCCACCTCACACAGCTTTACTTCCAGTCACAGGAAGAATCTCTGCAGAAACTTGCATCAGCTTTAAAGGGGTGAAACCAGTTGAAGTGAAGCAACCTGAGACACTGCCTTTTTTTAATTGGGTCGTCACATTTGTACTCGGTGCAGATACACACCCATAGTTCAGTTCATGAATAGATTTTGTCTGCGTGAACAGAACTCTGCCATGTCCTGCCCATCAATCCAAACCAGTGGTGCAGAAGACACCTCTCAAAAGCAGACATCACTACACAGACACACCCACACACATCCAGAGCAGTACCATCTGTCCATCCATTTATGAACTTACTAATAAACTATTTCTATGTATCTTTTTATTTTTATTTTTTAACGCAAGTTTATGAATGGAGAAATATGTCAACTTCTATTTGAAGACTGTTCAAGAGGAAATTCTTAAAGAGGAAGTAAAATTATGTCAGTTATGTCAGTGACGGAACACCGTAATGTCCTTTGACCAAATGTGCCATGACATATGTCACCTGTAACGTGACCACACCTCGTCACTCTCCTGTCCGCACTCACAGCAACATTTCAGTGGTCAGTCAAATACTTTTTGGATGATGTTTCACATGCTTTGTCATCCATCACAAACCTATAACAACAAACTTCCATAACTGTAGTCCAAAACCTGTTTGTGACTTATTGATGATTACTAAAATTTGTCCTTGTAAGTCAAAACATGAGCTTTTGTTTTTCTCTGTTAAGCCAATACAAGAGTTTAAAGTTTTAATTTTAATCTCATCCTAGAATTTTAATCTCATCCACAGTGTATAGGAGCTCGGCAGGCTGCTGGGAGGAGTGGCCATCACTTTGGGAGGAGTTCTGCCCAGCATTCGGGCGGTTCTGCAGCCGGGAGGAACCAGAGGCCAGTTGAGTCTGGGTGGACGGATCAGACAGCATCTGCGGCCAGTTTCTTCAAATCTACTGTGGGGCGGACCTTTACAAGAGATCCTTCCTGCCTACAGCCATCGGCATCTATAACACCTTTTAATGAAACGAGGATAATGAGTTACAACATTTAATTTCCCTTTGGGATTGATAAAGTATTTTTGAATTGAATTGAATTGAAGTAAATTAAACAACTCTTCATAAAGGTACAAGATTGAGGCTTTTTTAATTTATTTATGGTAAACTAGAGGGTGTGTAAACATAATATAAGAATTATATTTAGTTTTTTAACTGAAACAGCTTTAAAGTACCATTAAGTCCTTGGTGTTTTAAAGAGCAAACATGCATGTTCTGTCAGGTGATGAAATGTAAAGTGGGCTTTCAGCGGTGAGATGCTGGATCTTATCAGATCCTTGCAAACATTAGTCAAAAAGCTTTTGTTAACATCACATGCAGCCCTCAAACAAACATGCCACTTTTCTGTTTGCTCAGTTTGTCAATTTATTTTAGACACAGAGACTTAGTGAAGTGGCTGTGCTCTCTTTGAAGTGTGTAAAGCTTTAAAATGATTTATTTTATTTTTTTTTAAAGAAAACCATCTCACAGGAGTTAGAGGTCATGTCTGAGCCAGCGTTGAACGGTGTTTTAATTACATGATCCATGAGCTGCATGCACTCACTGTGTGCACCAACATATTGTGAGAATTTGCATAAACTTCTTTAGGAAAAAAATAAAATAAAATAAGTTTATATTACTTTTTTGGTGTATATAAAGATTTAACGTGCAATATTATGTTACAACGTCATAATAGCTCTGGTCAATTATAAATGTAGGAGCACCTGCATCAAAATAACACAGACTTACCACGAGGATAAGAGTGCCAAGGCACTCTGCAAGGGCCTGACGAAGCAGCAGGTTACGGATCTGAAAGAACCGGGCCAGCTTGTCCAGATATATCTTCTGTTGACCCATGTTGTTCTAAACTGATGAGACTGTGAGCAGTCACAAACAGCACATATGTAGACTGGTGGCTCTGAAAGTGGTGAGAGGCAGCACTCTCCTTAAAAGGCACATTGAGCTCAGCACCAAGCTATGTCCCACCCACTGCACCACCCCTATATGTCATATGTGACTCACAAGCAGGTTTTTTTTTTTTTTTAGTTTTGTTTCCTTGTTTGTTTGTTGTTGTTGTTGGTGGTGGGGGTTCTTTCCATATCATACAAAGTGTACTTTTTTTTCTGAAAGGAAAATGGTATAGTTGTAATTTTCCTCTCTGTCAGTAGGATTAAACTCAACCTTCATGTTCAAATGTAAAGACCTATTGAAGAAACAAGGGCAAGAGAAAAGCAGAAACCTGTTAAGCTTTGATGCAGATTCTCATAAGTTCTCTAAAAATGTGAGAAGTGCTGTATTAAACTCAGCAGCATTGTCTAAGCCACAGCTGAAGTCACTTTTCTATATGTAATCTGCCAAGGCTTAATCCCTGTTCCATACCAGCAGTCCTTCCTTCTATTTTACCTTCTATTTTAATGGTGTCCCTATTGAGTTTGACAATTCTTACAAATACTTGGGTGTTTTGGTCAATTTGCATCTCTCTTTTAAGCCTCATGTTGACAACTGGGTAAAAAAAATGAAAGTTAAACTGGGTTTCTTTTTCAGAAATAGATCCTATCTAACTCTGAAATGTAGGAAACAACTTAACTTTCCTTCCCTCCATTGACTACAATGACATTATTTACATGAATGCTCCTGCAAGCACCCTGCAGATGTTGGATGCTGTCTATAGTGCACTAAGATTCAAAATTGGCTGTACCGTACCCACCACTGCACCCTGTATTCACTGGTTAACTGGTCATCATTAACTTAACACAGACTCTCCCACTGGTACATTTTCATCTTTAAATCACTTCTTGGTCTGCTGCCTTCATACATCTCCTCCTACATGTCTCTGCATGAGTGCAGCTACAGCGTGCGCTCTCAGGACATTAATGCGTGCAGTGTTCCCTCAGTGTGAACCGCACTAGGCAAAAGGGCCTGCTCCTACTCCGCTCCTGTTTCCTGGAATTCCTTGTAAAAAAGATGTGAAGTTGTCAATCTTGACCCCTCTAAGAGATTTTAAACATCTGCTAAGTTCATGGCGAAAATCAATGCAGACATGTTCCTGTTTTTAGTATTTTACATCGCTTTATAATGTAGCTGTTTTTGTTTCGTTTTTGTATAATTTCTTCTACTTTTCATTTGATATGTTTTTTTTTAATGATTGTCTATTGTTGTCTGTACCTCATCTGTGTTCTTTGTCTAAAACAGATCTCTCTTGTAAATGAGTCTTCAAGGCTCAATGAGAGTAACCTGCATAAAGGTTGAATGAATGAAAAATAAATACCACAATCCTCGTCTTTGTTTTAGTGATCTCTTGACTAGAACACTCCCTTTAGAAAAAAATATGATTTAATATAACTACTTAGATAACCGACAAGTCTATTGCTTGTAAATACGTGTACAACTAAGAAGGTTGAGTCAGGTCTGCAGGACGGGTTCTTCTTTACTAAACATTTCTTCTTTTATCCAAAAGTCTTCTTCAGTCTGTGGAGCTGCAACAAACTCAGTCAAAAACAGCACCATCAGTGGATCAACTAGTTTGCCGGTGACCACTGAAACTAGTTGTTTACATGCAAAAGGAAGACCATCAGAGAACCTGTTCAGAGGACCTGACTCAACCTTATTAGCTTTATCTACCTGGATTATTGAGCATGCATCAGTGCATCTGTAAAACTCCTTTATAATGGCTGTTTGGTCATAAATCCTCAGTAAGATTAATTTTGGGGCATGGTTCCATTTCATAAAGGCCCTGTGTGAACTTCTGATTTAGCTAAGAAGCAGATAGGAGTAAATTTCCTTGCTGTTTTTGCACATTTGCCATGTTTGTTACAAAACTAAAATCATGGGATTTCTCCAACCCCACATTTGTTTTCTGTCAAGTATAGCCTCCATCTGGTTGAACAAAACAAACACTTAATGAACTTCCCCTGACCTTTTAAGCTTCAATAAATTATGGCTTTTTCCTAAAGTTCCTTCTTTATGTTTCCATATTTTTGATCAGTCAAGGAGCAGAATTAAAATGCAGATTGTAATGTACACCCGCTGGAGGTGTTATCAGTCTTACCCTTCACACACATCTTTCTCTCTTTACTTCCTCTATTCATCTCATGATTTCATCTGCCATTCCTCTGTTCTTTCGTCCACGCTCCAAAATGTCATCACCACACACATAACCTGTTTTGTCTGGTTTCAACAGAGGTGTGACCTTTAAAATACTATCAGGAATGTTTGACTCTACTTTTAATCATTTTGTTTTGTTATGACAGTACCAGTACTTGAATCAACTAAACTTTGGATTTATTCCGTTTGAGTAATTTGTGTGTTGCTCCTAAAGAGTCTGTCTGTTACTTCCCAAATCCAAATTTAAAGCCTGTATTAACAGTTATTCAGTAAAACATAAGTCATGACATGTTTTTTCTGCTGAAGTTGCTCTGTCATGCCTTTAACATACTAAAGTCTGGTCTTTGCCATTAAAGTTGCCTAATTTATTTATTTATTTTTATTTCCCATAGTCGTTTCATCGAGATATGTTTAAGGAGCGAGATCATGGGTGAGAAAGCAAAAACTGGATGTTGTCATAAATGCAAGAAAAAACTTTACTTGACTCAAGTTGGTACAAACATGTTTTGTGAAGGTAATGATTGGAATTAAAAAGAAGGGTTGACTTCAAGAAGATATATGTATATCTTTGTGTTTCTA